AGGATTATGCCTACAGTTGTTCTATCGTGCAAAGGAAAGCATGGGATGGAATATGGGAAAGAAGCAGCAAATGATAAGATATGAGGCTAGTTTGGGGTAGCCTAGATCTTTCCAGTGGGAGGATGAGAGGAAGTGCTTGTTTCCCTTGGGGGTAGCCTAGCACTCTCTGGTGGGATACGAGGCTGTGGTCATTGATCGGCAGCTCAGCGCTAGATAGTATTGAACATTGCTAACTATCTTCTTATCTTCCTCCGTGGGGTTTCCGTCACGCAGGAACATGGAGATGCATTGGTCCCTGAAGCACCTCGTGTTCTGGAAATTGTGCTGGCATTGTGCAGCAGCCCTTACAGGTGTGTACTCCTTTAATCGTGATTGCCATCCTGAAACTGTGTCTGAACATCAAGCAAGGAATCGCTCTGAGTGTTTCCACCAGCTAGTGCAGGTTCGCCTCAGCAAGTGATTAGGTTGCTTCCATCCATGCTCGTGGGAGCTTGGCACATGACCCAAGGGAGCTTTGATGAAGATAGTTCTTTTTGCTTTTTAAGTGTTCGGTACTCTCATTTGCTCACTGCAGACATGCACCTCCTATGAAGGACAAAAGATGCACTATCAAAAATNGTACTCTCATTTGCTCACTGCAGACATGCACCTCCTATGAAGGACAAAAGATGCACTATCAAAAATGGTCTTTGTCACTTGTCCTATCCGTAGAGGAAAGCAGTGGTTTCTGCGCTGAGCTAGTTTCCTAACAGGCCATTCCCCAAATCTGAATCTGTTTCCCTTACGTGATCCCCATTGTGGCCATATTCTGTCAGAGAAATCCCAGTGTCAATGTGCTCTTAGCTAGTATTCCTGCTCCTTGGAGCTTGTGGTTTGCTTTTTGAAGTTTTTCACTTCGACTGTCTTTTTGAAACTTTTTCCTTTCATGATATGAGAACTGACCACCGTCCGGGATTTTTGGGGCTTCATGTCTATTTTGTCAGTGACTTTGGACTTGTGGAATCAGTACTTGCTGCGCTGAGCCCTGTGCTCCGACATGCTTCAGAGGAAAGACAGGCCAGTCACAGGAAAGACGGGTCCATTGAAGGGAATATGGCAGCATTTGAGGTATGGAAGACTTTCAATGTGTGCCGATCTTCTTCCAAGGCACATAGCACATTCCCGATCCACAATGGCTGCTTTGGGAGTGGGAGGTGGTTGCAACCACTCATTTCTGAGCCGTTGCATTTGCCTGCCAAGTTTGTCACTCTCTTGCTCCTATAATATATTGACGTATATGTTCCAGCAGGCAAGCTGGCAAGTTTGCAGATGCCATATTGGTGTTCACCGGTGGAACTTTCATCCCCCTTTCACGATTAAAGATGTGTGTGATCTGGTCATCCAGTCCATTTTGCTCGCGAGGCCTATCAACGTAAAATCCAATAGCCAAAAAAGGGCCACAGGAGCCTCGCTGCAAGCCGGGTTCTGTTTTTACCATGGCAGCGGCAGACAAGTAAACCGGACAGGTCCGGAATGTCCGGATTTCCGGTAATTTCCGGTAATTTCCGGTTAATCCGGACATGTCCGGATCAACATGTCCGGACCCCTGTCCGGATGGGTGCATAAGAAGTACTGCAAATGGATTGAAAACAATGAAAAGGCCATGTGGCAGGGGTATGGGCGGGGGTGGGGGAGGTTAGAGCAAGTACATGACAACAACCAAGACGAGGGGGAGGAGGACGAAGACAGTGGAGGAGAAGCGAGAGGAGGGCAAAGATGTGGACGGGGAGGAGCGGGAGGAGGACGAAGAGGAGGAACACGACTACGAAGATCCGAAGGAAAGAACGACAGAAAAAGGGCGCCACGTGGCATGAGCAGGGAAGGGAGTGGGGGAGGTTATAGCAAGTACATGACGGCGACCAAGACGAGGAGGAGGAGGAGCAGAAAGGAGGAAGACCATGATAACGAAATGGAGAGAGAGAGAGAGAGAGAGAGAGAGAGAGAGAGAGAGAGAGAGAGAGATGCAGAGAGGAGTGAGCCCACTACCAGGCCGCCACGATGCAAGGACGGCATTCAAACGGGAGAGAGAGAGAGAGAGAGAGAGAGAGAGAGAGAGAGGAGTGTGCCCACTACCAGGCTGCCACGATGCAAGGACGGCATTCAAACGGGCAGAAAGTATAGAAGGAAGAAAACTTCCAACAAGCACAAAAAACAATTCTGGCCCTACCGGATGCCCCTTCAGGGCCAAAAAGAATATGCTTGTATTTTTGGCTGGCGGCCCTGGGCGTGATGAAACGCCCTGGACCGCCAAAAACAAATTTGGTTGTTGGCCAAAGGGTCTGGAATCCGGACCAGGATCCGGACATGTTTGCCGGACACCAGACACTGGACGGTCCGGATCCCTGGACGGAGGTCCGGATCGCTGCCATGGTTTTTACGCATGCTTTGTGGGCTGTTAGATTTTTGTGCGCGCTGCAGGGATTCGGTCTTTGTCTGCCCTAAAGGCTTTCCTTACCATAAGGGACAGGTGTTCCTTTTCGCTGGGTGCTGTCAATGAATCACCATTGAACTGACTGCATTTCATCCACGGTGATCGTCACTTGGATGCGTTGATGCATGACATTATTGATCTTGGCTTGCGTCCGTTTCTATTCCTGTGGAACGGGCTGTCCTTTGAGCACGGTGTTGTTTGTTTTTTTCCCCATGGTATACATGTCTGAGGGCATTGCTGTTCGTCTTTTCTTTTGTCGTGCTACTTCTCTCCAAGACCGGGGAGCAGGTGTAAACCCGGACTGTTTTTCATGTTTGCATTCAAAACAAAAATAGGTGGGAAGAGTCGAGTGGCCAAAGGCCCGGGAAAGGAACCGCACAAAAAGCACTGAGGCTCCGGCTGCGGGCAGGGCCAAAAACACCCAGGATAGGGCCAGAAAAGACCTGTGCGGGCCCAAAACGAGAGCCACACCCACCCAGGCATGCACCCACCTGCCCTCCCATGCACACACACATGCATGTGGGGGCACTTCTTGCTCAACCACACAAACGTGGGAAACCTTGCACATTCTATTATATTGATCATCTATGGTTTTTTTGGTTTATGGATGGTTTGCAATGGTATGAGGATGGAATGAGAGAGAGAGCTTGGGGATGTTGACTAGCACACACTCCGGTCTTGCTAGCTCTCTGTCTTGGCAGATTTGAGCGGTTAGGATTGGGGTCGTACTAGCGAGCTAATCTTTTTTGTGGTCAGATAATTTGTTGGTTGTTCTTTTTTCGTACATGGCCCAATTCTCTTCCCGGTGGCCGCAATGTTTTTGGGCGGGAATGCTTGTTTGGAGTCATGGTCACGGTATGCTTTTTTGGGCGAGGAGGCTCAGAGAGTCTTTGCTGTGGGTGTCACTCCGACGGGGTGCCCTTTTGGAGCACATGGAAGATGGTGGTGATTCCATGGTGTTTTAAGCAGTAGTGCTACTCTCGTTGCATGGAGAGTCTATGAATGTATGCTTGGAGTTCTGGCCACAGTATCTTGGCGAGGAGGCTCAGAGTGTAATTGCTGTGGGTGCCATTCCCATGGGCTGCTCTTTTGGAGCACATGGAAGCAGCGGGGACTTCGAGGGTGTTTTAAGCTGTAGCCCTCCTGGTGTCGCGTGAAGATCTTGTGGTCTTTGGGTTTATGTTACTCTGTACACTCCAGAGGCTAGACAGCTGATGAGGACTGTCTAACCATGGAGTGATAGAGATAGTGGTGACATGAGTTTGTTAATTGGGAGGAATAGGAGTGCTAGTGCTGCTGTGCTTGTGGGCTGACTCAGAGGGCTCTGCCTCTGGTCGGTGCTTTCTTGCTGGTGGAGCCTTCTGTGTTAGGTATGTTGTCTTCTTCCCTTTACCTTTGTTTTTATAGATTTGAAAAACCATATGTATTTGCCGCTTCGGCAGCAAACGGGTGTGTGGGCACCTCCCTCTCAATTAGACAAACGTGGGGAACCTTGCACCTTCAATGATATTGGTCATCTATACTTTTTTTGTTTATGGATGTGGGCACCTCCCTCTCAACCACACAAACGTGGGGAACCTTGCACCTTCTATGATATTGCTCATCTATACTTTTTTTCTTTATGGATGGTTTGTGATGGTAGGAGGATGAGAGAGAGAGCTCAGGAATGTTGACTAACACACATGCATGCACAGACAAACACATTTTGTTGTCGGAGCCAGGGTTTGAACCCAGTTGTCAAAGCTGGGGATTGAACTCAGGCGCTGGTCTTGAAGTACCAACGAACAAATGAGATAAACAGTGAGGTTCTGAATTCGAGGAGCTTGTTTACTTAAGCCTATCCGATGAACGCCTCTTTTACTTTCCTTTTCTTCCCCGTAAACGGCGACTACATTGCCCAGGCAAAAGAAAAGAAATAGCGTGGTGCCGATATGACGGCAAAGCTTGGCGCACAAAGTGAATCCGCCTCAGCAAGAAGAGGCTTGGATGTACTGGTGGTTTGATAGTAAAAGGTCCGGTAGAAAGAAACAATAAAGGCAACATCAAACGAAAAGGAAAAGAATGTCGATAATAAAGAGTTTTGTTTTGAAGAAATAACAACCTAGGCTACCCCGGGCATGTTAAAACTCCAGAATTGTTTTTCCTCTTTTCTTAGGTGGGGCTTCTCTGCACCCACCAAAAGCAGCCGAAATCGGGGCCTGAGGGGGCTTAATGTGATGGGTTCTCTCTCTCTCTCTCTCACACACACACACACACACTGTCTATGCCGTGCCATTCGATGGAGCAACTCCGACTGCTAGAATTGGATGCGGTGCTTCCACAGTCGACACTCGAACCGGTCCTGTCTGGTCTGTAGGGGATAGGCAATGGTGGCTCCTTATGTCCAATTTGTAGAGGGGCTGGAACAGCAATGCCTCTATAAGTGCGGTCGACGTGCCTCTGTGTTCCTAGCTTGTAGGAGCGACGTAGCCTGTGACAACTGTCTGCACCGTGCCATTCGATGCAGCAACTGTGACTGCGAAAATTGGATGAGGTGCTTCCACAGCCCACACCTGAACCGGTCCTGTCCGGTCTGTAGGGGTGGTCACTTACCAAAGGCAATAGTTGCTCCTCAACTCAAAATCTTATGCAACCCAAACACTAACTGACCTCATGTTCCCGTCTAGAGTAGTCTGTTCCAGCGGTGAGTATTTAGAATTCTTCGAAGTTCGTCATATACCTTTTCCCTGCCCTTCACATATTTCTCTCCTGCCCTTTGCACTCCACGTCCTCCTACCCCACTTTCCCATATAACTCCTTCTATCACTGTCCCTCCATCCTCCCCTCCACCCTCCCCTTTTGTGCTACTAGCAAATACATACGAATGAGCATCGGTAAGAGAAGAGACGATAAGTGAAATGAACAGGAGTATGAAGACGAAGGACGGACACAAACACTAAGTATAAGGGGAAGATCTGAAGTGAAATGAACAGGAGTATGAAGATCTGAAGTGAAATGAACAGGAGTATGAAGATATGAAGAGAAATGCACAGGAGCACACCTTCCCTTTTACTCCGCCTCCTGTTATAACGTGCAAGTGGGCCGTTAAGACACACGGGGATGTGGGCAGCTGCCGCTTAACCACCGTCAATGTGGGAAGCCTTGTACGTGTGATAGTAGAAATGAGCATATGACAAGTGGTCAAAAGAAACAGCACTCCGTCAGATGTTTTTATTGCTTGTTCTCTTTCCATAAATTGAAATAACCCAAGGTTTATGGTGAGCGATCCAGACGCAAGAGAACAGAAGTGGGAAAATTATTTCAAGAGAGAATGGTTCAACAAAGAGGAGGAGAAGGCAAGTTACACAGCTTAAAAGTGGAGATGGGGGTTATCATCGCATTGTCACAGGAGGGGGATGGGAAAGGCATCCACATCTGGAGGGGAAAAACGAGAATGGAAATGGGAAGGGCGGGCAGGGTCTAATGCCTGTCATCCATAGCACGGAGAGGGGGTGCCATGGCGGTCGCTTTGCAAGCTCTGCAAATCCTCGTGCTGTGGAGGAACCCGTTGTAATCGTGCCAACTATGACGCACGTCTGGTTGCAGCAATAATGCTCTGATGGCATGCTCCAGGGTGCATCTCACAAGAGTATGCTACTGACATCAAGGCCAGTTAATGAACGTCATCTTCCAGAGGCAGGAGGAGGAGGAAGAAAAGGAGTATGTACTACACAGCCTGAAACATGGTGGCACGCACACAAATAGACGAAGTTGTACATGGCCAGACCAGACCTCGAGCAGATACAGCACAAACACATCCACAGATCCCAGAGCACCCAACCTCTGCATGCTAGGCACAAGTCACTCGTTGCCTGATGGTTTGCACTTTCAGCAAAATTTGTAGTTGTCCTAATTGTTGTGGTAACGAAACGCGTGATGCCACCTCTGGGGTGACAGTCGGTTCCCCTTGTGTGTCTGAATGTGGGGTGTATGGATCAGCGATGAGCACTGGGTCCGAGGAGGAGGGGTGAGATGGAGTGCCACACACACACACACACACACACACACGCGACAGGACTCCGACACAGAACTCAAATGTTGCACCAAAGACGCCCAGAGGATAGTATAAACAGCAACTCAGTGTCAGACTCACACTCCAATGGTCTGGAACAGAATACATCACAAGATGTCCCGCCAGTGCGTGGGACTACCTTGGAACAGCTAACAGCTAGGCTGTTCTCAGGGGACTGTACAAAAAAAAAAAAAAAGTCGGTACAAGGAGAAAGGACAGAAATGTAAAATGTTCTGGTACCGTGGGCATGCTTGGCTCTAAGTCTGTAACAGGATCATTATATTTCCGTCTACTGTGCTACACTACTCTCATTATGTTGTGACTTGAACTGCAGTGGGCAATGGCATATTGCCAAGTTATGCCTGCATCGCACATGTTCTAAGTGTTTTGACACCGGTTCCCTTTCACTTGTGTGAACTACTTGGGCATTATGTGGAAGCTCCTCCATATGCTAAACGAGGATGGGATTTCTGCTATCTCGCTGTGGTGCATGTGATGATGTATATGAGATAAAGTCTTCGTCTAGTCACAATGCTCCCCTTTTCTCTGGTGTGTATGATGAGATACGTATGAGACTATATGCTGCTCTTATGCACAGTTGTGATGTTGTATATGAGATTTTGTCTTTCGCCTAGCCAGTCTTTTGTATGCCCGTATGATTATAAATGTATGAGGCTATCTCCTCCTCCCTAAGCAGCTCCCACCCTTGTGTGCGTTATTCAGGAAAGTATTCTGAGCTCTCCCAAACTGTGAATGCTCTTGGAACTGCAGGCTCTGTGTTTTGATAAGTGCATGACGTATTTGCAAGTTGAGGCAGCATCTCCTGATCCAGCGCGTTCATCAGGGCTAATCCTTCTGTTTGCTGTAAGGAACTCCTGACCATTCCAGCCTCCATCTTTTTTTTTTTTTCCCCCTAATAGAAGTTCCTCACATGTGGGGGACAAGCTGTATTTTTCTAGTACCCTATTTTCTTCGCTCAATCTTATGTCTACCTCACCCTAGCTACGTACCTAATGGGCTACCTCGAACTCCGATGAAGCAATTTCTCTATACTCAGCCTTAAACATGCAGGAAAAACATGCAGGCCCTTACTTTCCATCTTAGCCTGCTCTTTGTCACTCTTACCTTTTTGTTATTTTGTAATCTTATTGGCATGATTCCTGATAGTTTACAGTGAAAAGTCATTTTGTGGTCACCTTTGGTCTTTCATTCTCTCTTTTATTGGAGTTACTATAGTGGGATTTCAAACTCGTGGACTCATTTTTTCATTACCTCAAGGCGTACCTTTGCCACTCGCACCTATGAATCGTGCTCTTTTTTAAGTGCCCCCTCTTTGTCACATCAAATCAAGAAAAGAACAAGAATGGTCAATGAAACAGTTGTCCAAGTCATCTCCCAGAGGTCAACTCCCTCCAGCACTACCTCCCCAAACACCACCTCGGTAGCACTTAGTTTGTCCAATGTGTGGTCACAACCTCCCAAGCAGGATCTACAGATGACCTCACAAGCGAACTGCCCCCTCTCTCCTCTGGAGTAGCACCTACTGCAGTCTTGGGTGAAGTCTTTACTTGGAAGAATCCTAGAACAGTTTCTTGATGCAGTGTGCACAGATGAGTGAAGACGGGTAGCCTACCATAGCCAAAGGCAAGTCTTCAGCATGGTTCTCTTCGTCCTCTTGTTTGTCAACTGGTCTTCTTCTTCTGCATGCCCAAGAGGCTGAGGAAGAAGACCTCCATGGCTACTGAGGTCAAGTGCACGAGCAAATGGAGAAGGGTTTGGTTATAGCTCCTCCAGCAAGCTCCACCACCTTTCCCTCTTGGTGGAGCAGCAGCATGTCTGCTGGCAATTGTTTGCACGTGAACCAGATGCACCAGTGTATATCCTGTGCTGGACCAGTGGGTGTAGCCAAGCTACCTCCTACCAGTAGCTCCTTGGCCTACCACTCAACCTCGATGCCTTCGGTAACCGAAATGGGCAAGACCGACTTGCAAATTGTGTAAGCCTACGTGTACCCTTCCTGCTCTCTGGGATATGTGGCCTGATACTGGTCCCAATTCTGTCCGGTATCACACTTACACTAGCTCTGAGGCACCTCTTGAATTGCTGAAAAGGCCGCACCAAACTTCTGTATATTTGCCCATATGTCCATCTCCGTCCCACTTTACCCGTATATCTGTCAACTACCTGAATTTCAGTCACAGAACAGAAGCACTGCCGCCAAGAAAATAGCACCTTGGTATAGCCAACAGACCCGAACTTAGACACAGTGATCTCTCGGGAAAGCACAAACACAGCAGAGACTCTCTCTCTCTCTCTCTCTCTCT